TTTATTCAATGGCCACAGCGTTCAAAATCTGGCAACAAATTTATTGCCCCGCATATCATAAATATACAAAAGGGGGGATATATATATATACACACGTATATTTGTCGTATACAGGCGTGCATAAAGGGCGGCATATAAAAGAGAGCCTGCAATTTCATAAATATTTGATTAGCTTAAAGGCATATTTGGAGTTATGTTTTGCTGCTTTGATTTTTTCTATTAAGTTTTGTGTTTTTGCTCAACTCTTGAGTTGCTGTTGCAATTTTGTTGCTCTTAAATTAAAAGCATTTTGAGTGTGTTTTAAGCTTGAAATGGGCTAACGAAGGGCATCGTATAAAATAACTGGTCTTAAACAGACCGAAGTGGTCAGGATAGCAAAGGGCTGTGGGGAAAGTCCAAAGCAAATAGGTTTGGAGCGAGAAAAAAGCCAGTCAAAGCTTTATTATACAAAAGGGAAGTGGATTAATGTACTAAGTGGGGGGGTTAAAGACAAATTGTTTTTCAGGAAATTCTATTAAAGTAAGTGCTTAAGCTAACGAAACAGGCAATTGCATTACATTATAAAGTCAACAAATGCTTAATAAATTGTTTAATTGCCTTAATTTGCAACCATCATATAGCTCTTGTAATTTACGTGACTTATTCAAAATCAGACAACTTTTCAACTTGTCATGCAATCTGTGGCTGACAAAAGCATTCAACTGCCTGCCACACGGCTGCCAACTCCGCCCGTATTTCATCACTCTCTGCATTAATGTCTCGCGTTGTGCGTGTCATTTCCTGGTTTTTGATACAAAAAAAAAAAAAATAATAATAAAAGAAAGATGTCACAGGCCTTTGGTCCTGCCTGCGTCCGGGGCGCGTGTCTTCATCAACATTTTGGGGCCAGTCACAGTTTGGTTTTTTCGCTGCTTTTTAACACATTTACTCGAGTTTGTTGGTGTTTTTTATGTGCATTTTGCGTGGCGTTAACTGCACGTGCCATCAATTTTAACTGCGCTTTTTTTCACTTCTACTGCTGCCTTCCTTCTTTTTATGTGCTGCCCTTTTTTTGTGGGCGCTGTTTGTTTTCTGATTCATTATGCAGAAGAAAAGGTGCCGGCGCAGCAGCTGCTCCTGCACTTTTCGCCTGCCGCTTGCCATTTTCTTTTCTTTTTTTTTTTTTTAATTTTCCCCCTTTCTTTTCTTGTGTATGCCACGCCTCGCCTAACACCTTTTCATGGAAAATTTTAATTTCATTTTACTTATTTTCTGGCACGCCTATTTTTCTTTTTTATATGTTCTCTTTGTGTTTTTTTTTTGCTGTCCTCTGTTGCCAGACGAGGATTTAAGGCGCCTCAATGTGAGCGATTTGAAGGCGCTTCTGCGAGCGCGCGGTCAGAGCGTTACGGGCAAAAAGCAAACACTAATTGAACGCTTACAGAACACAACAACGACAACAACAGCAACCACAACAACAGCAACAGCAACGCCAATTGGTACAACAGGAACAAGTTCCCATTTGTCGTCGCCTGGCTCCATGGAGCAACCTTCTCAGCCGCTGCCGCTCGTAAATTATACTGCCACCAATGCGTCGTCTTCTTCTGCTTCTTCTGCCTGTGGCAACGCTTCGACTTTGTCGCCACACAATGGTAGGTAGCTGCTGGTCAGGAACAAATAGGAGTCGCAGTCCTAAGTCCTGCTCTCAGCGCTTGGTTGCACAATGGAGCCGCAGCAGACTTTACCGTCGAGTCGCGTAATCTCAGCACAAAGCAGTTATCGTGCTGCCACTGCCACACGCCAAGCCCCGCCTCATCAACTAACAGAACTTACCCACTAATAGCTCAAGTTGAGTGTTTGTTGCGCGCTTTTCACTTTGTGTGTGTGTTTCTTTCTTTTATTTATGTTTGTGCTCAATTTAAAGTGTACTTTTAAATATCTTATGCATGCAGTTTTTAAACGCTTCGACTGAGTTTTTATAATTTAATTTAAATGCCCAATCGCTACACACGCACCCACGCACAACATGCAACACAGCCCGAGCTGTTGAACATGTATTCCAAATGAAATCGCCGTCAAATTGCAGAGTGCGGAATTCATAATGATACAGCAGAGCAACAAATTTTGCATACTCAGAGCAGGGGGGGGATTGTAAAGCAAGGACCTGCACAGAAGCCAGAACTCGTGTAATCATGCAACGCTCATACGCCCCGTTGCAACATTGCAAGGCGCGTTGCCGTTAAGTATGCAACACAGTTGCCAAGCTATTTTGATTGCGCGGCACAGATGACAATGTTATAGAGCTGCGCGAAAATGCAAACAATTTGCATATTAGCCGACATGTGACTGAACACGACGCTGAATATATACATATAGGAGGAAAACTTGAAGTGACAACTAGAAAACTTGGGAGAATTTAAATCCAGCTTTTAAACAAGTTTTAAGTCTTTGATCGCAGGATTTTTCTAAAAATAATTTTTTATTAATAACTGAAGCCTACAAAGAAGCCTAAATAGAAACTATAAAAAATTCCAATTTATAAAACCTTACTTCTTAGTATTAACTATCTCTGTAGTGATAATAGAAATTCAACCTTTCTGGGTGTGCACTTATTTTTAAACGTAATGCTATGTAAATAGGTGACCTTTGAATATCCAATTAACTATGTGAAGTTCATTCAAGGTTCAGTTGGCCTAAGCTAGCAAATGCTCTATACTATGCACTGCTATTTAACATCGCGTAGTCAACTTAAATAAGAGTTAATTGCAAGTATACTACGGACACACTCACACTCACACACACGTGCAACGACTACAAAAGCTGACTGGTATAAATTTGTAGGCTGATTGCCGCATTGCATTTCCGCTTGCTTCACTTTGACCTCAATTCCATTGAATGTGTGTGTGTGTGATGTCTATGTCTATGAGAATGTGTGACACTTGTTAACCCTGTGCTTGGCCTGCGGAAACTGCCTATTAAGTTTTGATGAGAGCAAAGCACCAAAAGTTGTGGCAAAGACATGACACGCTCCTACAGGATAACAGGAATTTAATCAATGTTTGCACGCCCCTGCACGCTCTGCGGTTTTTGAGGGGTGTTGAAAACCTCTATGGTTAGTGTTTACTTTGGCAACAACGTTATAACTGGGAACAACAAAATCAGTGACAGGACTCACAACTCGGTTGTGGGTATTTTATGTGTGTGTGTGTTGTGTGCTGTGTATATGTATGCGTCATGCTTCCTGTGGTTAGTTATCTGAGAGCAAATGCCGCTTGCCGCTTGTCAGAGTTTGCAAAATTTAACTTTTTGCGTTGTAGGCAATGCTATCCACATACAAATCAAATAGTGTGTGTGTGTGTGTGTGTGTGTGTGTGTGTTGTGGCAGGCAGCAGCTTTTGTGGGTGATTGCGGCAACGCAATGTGGCAGCACTTTGACACGACAGCAAAACACGAAACAAGTTCATAGAACTTTTTTTCTTTTGGCCATATTCTTTTAATAGTTTAGTTAGTGCTAGTTAGTTGGGCATAGCTTATATCACATATGGTTTATAGCATTCGGGTTTAATTTTTTTTATAGCTTCTTGCCACGTACACTAAAACAACAAAGCACAACGCACAGCCACAGAGTCGTTGTATGTGCGTGCGTGTGTGTGTGTGCGTGAGACTCGACTCGACTCGACTCGACCAGCGATCAACAAACCGAGACACACGTCTGCAAGCGCGAAAATCAGAAAGTTAACTGAAAATTAACACAAAACTCTCAAACTATCAATAATCAAGCAGAAGCCGCAAACAGAAAAAAAAATATATATAGAAAATAAAAGAAGAGAAGTAGAAGGAGAAGGAGAAAAAAAAAAGAAAACATAAAACACACATATAAAATGTGTTTAAAATCCCAAAAAATCAAAGTGCATGAAAATAATAATCACAACAACAGCTAGCAATGAGCGATGGACTTGGGCGCAGTTAGCCAAGCAACAAAACCAACAACAACAACAACAACAGTAATAACAACAACACTAGTTACCCACATTTCAGTGGCGCCGCCGACAACATCAACAACAATAACAACATCTACTGCTTATAGACAGCAACTACAACTTAGACCCAGTAAATGCGCTTAAACTGAGGCAAATCTCTTATTAGAAGCTATTGGGCTGCTGCTTGCATCGCTGGCCACTTGGCGTGTTGCATGTGCCACAGCGAAACATATATATATATATAAATTATGTGTATTAATTTCTATATATATATATAATATATATATTTATATAGCATAGAGGCTTATGCTTTGTGCTACTTCAAAGCTGCTGCACAAAAGCGCAGTCCACACATGCGACAAAGTGAAAACTTCAACACGCACACTCACTATTTTTAGAGGTGTGTGTATGAGTGTGTGTTTAGTGTGTGTTAGTACAGCAACAGCTAATTAAACTGTTGCTGCTGTCATTTGTGCCTCATCTGCTCATTTTTAGCTAGCTACAAATCTTTGCCACATCGCTTGGGGGCAGGCGTCATAGGCGCCATGCCTCAGCGATCAATTCGTACGACTAACTGCATTCAACAACCTTGAGTAGCTCTGCGGGCAATTAATAAAAAAAAAGAAATAAAAAAATACTACAACGCAATCTGACACAAATACTATATAACTATAACTTCTTACAATCATAAGCACTGTTGGGCTAGGTTAGAAACGTTGCCACATCATGACTCGACACTTAACAGAACTTTGTGCCGCAGCTGGCGTTAAAGTAACTAACTCGCAAGCTTCTTGGCAATTTAGTAAAATCCAAAAGTCACTTTTTCTCATTTTTTCGACTAAGATTAATCTCTCTTGTTTGTGATTTTAGGGATTATCAAGTAGTTTATATATATATATATAGATTTATTGATTTTACGTAATTTGTAGATAACTAAAAAAAATTTAAAAAAATGTTAGTAAAGTTGATAAAATACTATTCAAGCTATTGAGAAAACCTTTTAAGGCCCCCTCTGATTTCTCCCACTCTCTTGCCCCACAGAGGATATCAGTCTGGAGTATATCAATGGCATGCCCCATTTAACAGTTCGCCTGCCAAGTCGCAATGAGCTGTGCCAGTTCGCCTTGAAGCCCATCTCGCACACTGTTGGGCATCTGCTGACAATGCTCAGGGAGGAGGATCGGGGCATAGATCGTGCTGCGGTTATCAACAAGCATGGCGTACGCATTGCTTCCTCCTGCACCATTGAACGATTGCTGGACGACGAATTCAGGTAAGTGCCACAATATAAAACCTGCTGCTTATAGCTGACGGAGCTTACTTTTATGGTGGAAATTAATCCACAATCCGCCTATGTCAAGCTAGCGTTTCATGAGGCAGTGCCCTATGGCCTGTTCTTGACTAAATCATTGCCATGAGTTTCAAAAGATGTCTCTCAAGCATCACTACAAATAGTTGGGCCATTCCACAAGTCAATAGAGCCAAGTATCTGGCCATATTGCTAGGATTGCTAGAAAAAAGGAGCCAAATAAACTGCACTGGCTTTTCAAGTCCAATAGAACGCTACATGACTCAAATGTACAAATTCCTTTCCGTTCTCAGCTATGTATATGGGATGCATCTCCGGGGGCGGGCATAAAATAAAATTGTATGCAAAATTGCAAACTTGCGAAGGCTTGTGCGCAACCAAACATTGCATAAGGAGCTGGGACTTCTAGCCTTAATGGCACCACTTAACAAATACATCAGCCCCAACAACGATTCCAACGTCAACTAGAAATCCTCCTGCTATTGTTCATGGATGGTTGCCACTTGTCTGGCGCCTGAGACGCTTAAGTTATATTCAAATTTAAACAGTTACCCCAAGATCCAGCAAACCAAACTTTGTTTCAAAACAAATTTCCATAGACAGTTTAATAGTGTAAAAAAAGTGTGCCAAACAAATATGGACAACTAACTCGTATATTTTTCATGGCAGTATACAAATAAACAATCGCAATTTGGATGTGAAGCCACCGGAACGCGAAAAGATCACGACGGAGAAAATTGACAAGATGGACGATGTGCGCAAGATCATAGCACAGGTGCGCGAAACAATAAATTAGCCGAATGAATTTCACATAAATCCGAGTTTTTGCAGCTCTACGAGGCCTTCAATGTGGGCGAGTATCAGCTGGAGAAGAGCAATCAATTGGCCAGGGAACTGGAAAACCTGCGTTACGAACTGGAGCCGCTAGAGGAGGTTGGTTGACTATTAAACAGAACTAATGGACTAACCCGATTATCATTTGTTTCATACACCAGAAAAAAATGGAGCTGGCCAAAAAAGCTGAGCGCCGAACCAATATGATGACCTGGGTGGGCCTGGGTCTAATGTCCGTGCAGTTCGGCATACTCGCGCGCTTGACCTGGTGGGAATACTCTTGGGATATTATGGAGCCGGTGACCTACTTTGTCACCTACGGCACGACAATGGCCATGTACGCCTACTATTGTGTAACCAAGCGAGTAAGTTCAAGGATTGTGCTCATTTCAAGGAACTATTGCGTTGAATAATTACCTTCAAATCCCTGCCAGGAATATATCATGGAGAATGTATATAATCGCCAGTACTCGCTGAACATTTATAAGAATGCCAAAAAAATTCAGTTCGATGTGGAACACTATAATCGACTAAAGCGCAGATCTGCGGAATTGGAGTACAATCTGAGACGTCTCAATGATCCCATTAATATGGGTCTGCCAGCTCATTTGGTCCGCAGCCAGCTGGACTCACCACCTATTGAAGAGAGCAATGGGACAGAAAAGAGTAAAGAGAAAAGTACTTAGGAACCTCGTGGCCAGCTTCTGTTCTTCTTGACGTCGGAAAAAACAGATCAGAGAGCATATGTAAGGGATGAAGAGAAAGCTGTAGTAGCCACCTATAAAAAATGAAACTCAAATCTACATTTAAACACTCGCAAGCTCTCAATCAATCAACTCGTCATTTAACCAATGTTGTCGTACAGTGATCGAAATTATAGTCAACTCCATATAGATATATTCAGCTATGGTTTTATATGTTTTGCTCTTACTTAATTGTTCATACGTTTGTTGAGTGTACTATCCTTTTCTGTTAACTGAATGTTTAGTTAGTTATTTTTTAATTTTTAGCATAAGCCAAAGTTTAAATGGGCCCAGAAAGCGCACAAATTTCACAAATGACGTCATCTGCTAAAGGTGTTTGCTTGATTTTTGTTTAGTTATTTATTTAATGAGTGATTTGTTTTTAAGCATCAACTGTGTGCGTTGTGAAAGTTCTAGTAAAATATATGATTTATTTATTGAATATTATATTTTGAGTTTCTGTAATTGATTTTTTTTCTATATTTGAATTGAATTTCACGCTCTTAAGATAAACTCTCTTCAGATTTCGGGCTATCAGCTTTTCATAAAAATGCTTCTTCATTTTTTAAACTTTTCTAAAGAAAATTCGATAGACTCCTGAGCCAACTTGCAACATGCTCTTGGGCTGAATTAAAATTCTAAAAACCCTTTGCATACTTTTAAGCTGAAGAGAGAACGAATATAAGAGTTAATTTCTTTTTGTTTTAAGAGCTGAGGGAATCAGAAATTGACAGCTATAATTCTCAGGCTAAAATAAGAAAAGTTAAAATATATTTTTAGATTTAACTGAAAGAACATCATATACTTAACCACCTATTATAAATATATTTTAATTTAGATAGGGGCGCTCGTCAGTGTGAAGAAACCGTGAAAACTTGCAGTGAAATCTACTAACTTCCTAAGCTTTAATATACCTACTTAGCATATACTAACTATACTAACTATTTACGTTAACAAATACTAGATACATATATATATACAAATTGTAAATAAAAACGCACCAACTATTTCATTAAGAGTTTTAGCAACAACAACACTTAACACACAAATTATGTAGTTAGTAATGTTTACGAAATTCCTAAACTAAAATGATAATGAATTTGAAAATGATGCCATAACATTAGTGACAGCAACTTATTTGATAGGTACTTATAAATTATAAAAATGTATATGTAAATATATAAACTGCTGTGTTTCATGACAACGTAAACGATACTTAAGATCCGAAAATTGTTTTGCAAATTGGCAAGAAATGGCAAAATTGAAATAGCTGCAAATAATGCCTAAAATGAATTTAGTATAAGCAACTGGGCTTTGATAATTGGCCACTAGTCTTACCGTTTTACGCTTTCGCTCTAAAGCTCTAAACCTAGAATCGCGAAAAAGGTTGTGTTAAAAACTTTATGCCTATATCTACTATGTACTATATTAAATCAAAACCCTGAAACCAATCACTAACATCCACACTCGGAAGCTTATAAGCCACACTCTAGCATAGCTTTTCAATGCGCTCACTACACTTAAAACCAATACGCACATTTTAAATACACAACTAACCAAACTGCAAATCTTAATAACACTCACTAACATTAGCCTAGGTATTATTCATACATACAACAAATATTTTAAAAAACATTTGTGATTCAATTCGAAATTATAAAGAAAACATTGTTTTTTATTTGAATAAAAAACAACAAATAAATAATAAACTAAAATTCACTTATAAATTAAACTTTCCTAAATAACTTTTGAAATAATTGTCTAAAGTTCCCTAAAATCCATTTAATTTACTTAAATTTACTAAGAGTATTCCCTCACTTATATTGTTGTAATCAGCGCCAAAGACTTATTAAAAAACTAAAAAAAAATTTACCCAGCCTTCTTTAAAAGTTTAAAAATTAAAAAAGAAAACTATGATGCTCGTTAAAATACTTATATATTAAAACCTAACTATTGTTAACTGTACTTATAAAACAACATCAAAACTGGACTAATCCCCAAATGGGTTTTAACTGCTCTTAAGATACTTGATATTTATGATTCTGAAGTACCTTTTTTTCGAAAAGAAACCAATCTTAAATCTTTTTAACGAATTTATATTTAACAAACTAAACGAAACCAAACAAAAAAAAAACACAAATTATGATAAGTGCTTTAAGTATTCAATTGTTTAAATTTTGACTAAACAAGAAAAAACGTGCGATTTTTTACATTTATAAAAACATAAATTTGTTTGTTAAACATAATCAAGTTCAGGAACCCAGCTTCAAAAATACTTAAAATTCGAAAAACAAACGGAATGAAAATGATTAAATAAATAAAAAAGAATAAATACATAACAAAAAATTATGCGGTAACTAGACAACTGATTAAAAATAATAAATTAATAAAAAATTGAAACATAAATTAAAAAAAAAGAAAAGCAATTTAGTGTTTGGTAAAGAATGTTAAGAATCCCGTTTTTATTTGCTACTAAAACGTACAAAAATACAATCACGAGATTTAGATAGGTTTTGGAAATAAATATTCAAGCACAGCGTATTTCCAGCCTGAAACAGCGATTCGAATCCGTTGTATTCCATCTGACCAGCTCAGCAATGGCCCGGCTAGGCTTGAGAAACAGCGTCAGCTGTTCGTTCAGCTGCAGCGGAGAAAATTTGCTGACGATCAGCGCCTTCGTAGAGTCCCGATATTTGCCGACCAATGTGTCATTGCCGAAAACGCGTCCTCGTCTGTCAGCTACCTCAAAGGTGTGCTTGGCCTCATTGGTGGCATCATCTATGAGGCGATAGCTGGGAAATCGATCCGGATTGTAGCCCAGCTTCTTGCAGATATCACGCACTTCGGATATGCTGGGTGGCGAAGTCTTGGGAAAGCATTTGGTATGCCAAATGCCATATGATTGTTCAATTACTTGGCCATACTGTGATACTAACTTCTTGTGACTATATTCACTATGCGCCCAGTAATCCTGCTGCTGCTCCTGCAGCGGGTGCTCAATGCCAAAGCAGAAGCGTTCATCCTCGCCGTTGGGACAATCGGGATGCTTGTCGCACACAAAATCACGTGGTATGCAATCCTCAGGAGAGCTTAAGATGAAATGAGTTAAAGGCGAGGCCCCAAGTGTTGCTTGAAGTTGACTTACGAAGTGCATTGAAAGTGATCCGCGGTACAGTTGCACAGCACCGAACTCTCATCGCTCTTGTCCCAGCAGTTGCGCTTGCCATCGCATATCTTGGAAGGGTCCGTGGCCCTAAAAGGAATCAATGTCATAAGTATTTACTTTATCAATATCAAGCTGTATATATCTCACTGCAAATAAGTAAAGCAGCTGCATATTGTAGGCTCATCCGTCATATCCTCACAGTCCGGCACATGATCACAAAACTTGCTCTTGGGCACACACTTGGCGCTTGAACGGCACTTCATTTCGCCTGGTGCACAGTGATGTTTTAGCTCACGGCATTTGGACGCCTCCTCATCGCTGCCATCGTGACAGTCGCTGCGGCCGTCGCAGAGCGCCGACTGCGGCAGACAGACGCCCAGGGGACAGCGATGGGTTTCACATGGAGGCGACGCCTGCACATTGCTGCACTGCGGTTGATCTGTGGAGAACATATCGCAGTTAAATAGTCAACTAAAATTGCAGACAACTACAAATTAAATACCCATAATTTCCTGCAGTGATTTGTATGCCTCGTTCAGTGTCCTAATGCCAAAAGGCGCTCTGAAGCTTTGGCAGTCGGTATTATTATAGCTAAAGATTGCCGAAGGATACCAGCCGGTGTGCGAATCCCGACACACAAGCACGCCCTGATCGCTGGGCTGGACTTGAACATCACTCAGATTCCTTTGTCCAAACTGCGTGCAACTGGTGAACTTGGTTAGTGCAGGCATCGCTCTGGCCGTCACACCGCTAACCAGTTCCACTTCGTCCGATATGGATGCCATATCCTCGGCGCTTACATTTAGCATGCGCATCAAATTACCCGAGGGCTGACGCTCCTGCATTTGATAACAGGAATTGCAGCTGGTATCATTGTTGACTCTTGTAATGGCCACCGTCTTGATGCGTCCAGTGAAATCATCGTGCAGCACGCTGATGCATTCATGCGGGGCGCTCTCTTGTTCATCCGAACTGTGGAATAGACGGATTATGAGTAAACTACTTTATGGGCAAGCCAGGTGCTTACATATCAGGCAAAAAAGTGGGCAGGACGTAGTGCGTAAATCTTGCCGGCTGCTCCAGATGGTACAGCAGTACATTGGACCTGGGCACCGCTTCGAAGCAGTCCACACGACGTATCTGCTCGTGGGTGCTGCGGTGCAAAGAGCGCTTGGTCTTGCCACCGCCCAGCAAGGCGCTGATGTAGTGCGTATCAAAGCTGCAAAAGATTAGATTGGATCAGAAGTAAGCAGAGACTGATAGATGCACCCAACATACCTTATGCCGGAGAGGCAACTCTCGTGCACCAGCAGCCAGTGCTTGTCCAGGAGGACTCCCAGGCACCAGAGTTCACCATTCACATAGACATCAGCCATCCATGGCCAGTGCAGCTCCTCAATGGCCTCGTGCAACTGCTCGTGGACCAGCAGCGTCTTGTTATTCTTGCTCTTGATCAGCATGTCCAGGCGATCCATTATTTCATCCTTTTTGTTGACCAGCTGCGCCGGCTGCTGCGGCTTAAAGTGCACATTCGGCTTCTTGTGCGTGCCAATGCTGGGCAGCAGCTCCGGTAGATTCCCAGCGGGACGCTGCTTTATCGCTTGTCCAGCGCTGAAGGTTTTCAGCGGCAATGTCATATTAGAACGGGCATTGCATTCCACATAGATGCCCAGACACTTGTTGGGCACGACACGCGTCTTTTGCCGCCCGGGCAGCGTTTGGTGCGCGTGCCTCGGCAGAACCATCTCCCTGCTGGTTAGCTGGACATTGTCCCGCATCAGCGCTCGCAGCTGGTTGCCAGAACGTGACGTGATTAGCTCTGGTGTAATAAACTGCATCTCCTGCTGGCTGACAAACTCCGTGCTGTTGTAGTAGTGGGCGCCCCTGAAGCCCAGCAAGGCGCAGACTGTGTCCGCCGTCTTAGCCTGGTGCTCATGGAAGCCCGTCTCATGGGCGCAAACCACGCGCCACGAACCATGCGTATTCTTCGAGAAGACGCCAACGCTACTGAACTTGGGCTGCTGATGCGCATCGAAGTGCACATCGTGGCCATTGGTTAAGGCAACTGTGAATTGAGAGTTAACAAGTTAATTGTGAACCTGGAGCTGGACGGAATAACATACAGCAATCCTTTTCGTCCTCACTGAACTTGCAATCCACAACTTTGTCACAGCGCTTGGCCAGCGGCAGGCAGCTCTTGGACAGCGCGCAGTGGTACTCGTGCTCCTGACAGCCACCTGTTGAATAGATTTCACTTTAAATGGTACAGTGGCTCTTTTGGTTTGCCTTGAGCTTACCACAGTTCTGCTCATCACTCAGATCCTCACAGTCGGCTTTGCCATCGCAAATGAGCGCACTGAGGCCGCCCTTGAGATAGTCACGACAGCTGCAGTCCAGTTCATCGGTGCCATCCTCGCAGTCCACTTGTCGATCACAACGATGCAGCAGATCAACAATTTGAGGCATTCTGGACAGTTAAAATTTGGCATTAAATGTTTATAAGCCACTTAACTATCAGCTGGGAATAGGACTTACTTCTGACAGATGAACTTATGGGGCAGCTGCTGCTCCGCCGCGCTGACCTTGCTGCGCTCCGTTGTGCTAGGCTTGGTGGTTGCGGCTATTGCAGCTGTTGTTCTTAGTGTAGTTGATGTTGTTATTGTTGTTGTTGGCTGTGATGTGGCTGAAGTCGTTGTTGTTGGTGTTGTTACTGTTGTTGCCAGAGTTGTAGTTGTCTCTGTTATTGCCACAGTTGAAGTTGTCTCTGTTGTTGTGGGCTGTGTCACAGCTTGTGTTGTGCTCTTGTCGGCGGCTGTGGAAGCCACCAAAGTTGTGCTCTCAGCTTCAGTTGTCGTTGCAATTGTTGTTCCAAGTGTTGCACTTGTTGTTGTGCCCATATTGGGCGCATCTGTCGTGAGAGAGAGAGCGAATAGCGTTGTGTTTACCAACTGCTCGAACGTGGTTGCAGTTGTTGACTCTTCGAGCAGTTGGCTCATCAGATCCGTAAATTTCATCAAATCCTCGGTGGGTGAGGGCCAAGCTGTTGTTGTTGGGGGCGGCAAAGTTGTGGGCAATGTTGTTGTTGCTGTTGTTGTCGTTTGCAATATGGTTGTTGGTAATGTTGTTGTTGTTGTCGCTGAAGGAGCTGAAGTCGCGTTGTCAAGCTCCGCTTCATTCTCTGCTGTAGGCGTGCTGCTCTCCTCAGTTATTGTCCAGGTATCGCTCTGTGCTGTTGCTGGTGTTGTGCCGAGCTGCCTGGTTTCATTTTCCGGTGGTGGCGCTGTCAGAATATGAGCAATCAAATCCTCATCTTCTATAGCCACATCCTGAAGTTGTTTGTGCTCTGTTTGCTGTGCTTCCTGGTCGTGTGCTGCCGCTTGTTTCTCTGGATAATAGTCGCTTTCTGTGGTGCTGCTTACAGTTTGCTGGCTGCCCACCATGTCGGGTATAAAGTTGTAGGCACAGCCCAGCTCATCCTCCCCGCCCAGGCAGTCCACGTTGCGGTCGCAGCGCAAACGCTGGGAAATGCAACGCTTGCCGCCCCAGACGCATATGAATCCCGGGCACTTCTGCAGCGGCTGGCGTGCTGGAAGCAGTCCGGGCGTCACAGCTAGCTCCAGCCAGTCCAGATAGAGGGCAACACGTGTATAGACGCCAAATTCCTTGGGTCGCGCACAGCCATTGCCGTGGCTGACGACGCCCGCCAAATACCATTGTTCGGGCTGACTGACGCTGCGGCAGAAGAGCGGTCCACCCGAATCCCCTTGGCAGGCGTCGCGACCACCACCGGGCTCACCGGCACAAACGTCCTCAGAAGCCCGATCCTCGGGATCCGTACAGCCCTTGCGTATGGGCAGAATGACCTGGCGCATGGCATCACCTGCAGCAGATACAAAATTCAGTGTGTTTTATCAAATATGATCCCACAATCACCTACTGCTTGGACCCTTCTCTCTTATGGCACCCCACCCAATAACTGAGCAGAGCGTGTGCTCCTCTGGGCCCCAGATCCAATCCTGGCCAAATGTGGTTCGTCCCATATCTGGCAAGCAAATGGGCTTCACCCAGCGATTGAACTGCAGAGGCGCCGCAACGCGCAACAGGGAGAGATCGTTGCGCATGCTGCGCCGCTCGTAAGCCTGATGCACCACCACATGGGAAACGCTTTGTATCTGTGTAGCCGGCGAGTAGCTGGTGCGACGCAAGAGTCCAGCGCGCACTTCATAATAATACTTGGCATAGTTGATTACACAATGCGCCGCGCTGATGATCTGTGAGTTGGTGGGAGTAGCTGCTAAGTAGAGGTGGCTTCTAAATGACCAGACTTACCCAATGCTCCGAGTAGATGGTGCCGCCACAGTGGAACTTGCCATCCCGGTAGATGGCCACCACGAAGGGCCACTGCAAGGGACTTGCATAGCTGCCGCCCACGATCCGACTTTTATCCGCCTCCAGGCGATCCGCAATGGGTGCCCTCTTAGTGCGCTTTGTGCGCCCACTCTCGCTAGGCTTACTGGGTAAGCCACACTGCGGATGCGGGCACTTGACGTAGGCAACGTGATCGACCAGCGTGTCCTGGCCATTACGTCCATGGCAGCCCTGGGCAAAGTGTATGCCCGCATGCAACGAGGGCTCTATGAACGGACCCGGCAGCTTAAGCTGCTTGAAGGTAAGATTTGCGGATTGATTGAGGTCCTCCAACTCACAGGCGGCGGCCGCCCATCCAGCGCCATTGTTGCACACAGGATACCAATCGCCGCGATGATTGTGATACAGATAACCCTCCGAAGCAGAAGCCGCATGGGCCTAAGAAGCAACAGGGAAGTTTACTAAGAGTAATCTTTATAGGAGTACTGCCAGAGCTTACCATATGACGGCCAACATCTGTGAGCAGCATGCTGCACTGCAGCTCATCGCGTCCATTGAAGCAGTTGTGGAAGCCATCGCAGCGCTCGTGGCGACTGTAGCACATGGACAAGGTGGAGCGATTGTGTCGCGCATATTCCTCGGCATTCTCGTAGCAGGAGTGGGCCAGAGACTCACAGCCGAAGCAGCCCAGCTCATCCTCGCCCATGGGACAGTCCGCATAGCCATCACACAGACGCTCCTCATCCAGGCGATCGGCACAGGTGCAGGCCGACTCATCGCTGCCATCAGGACAGTCGATGACATTGTCACACCAGCGCGAGGCGGCAATGCACTCCTGCTGCCCATAGCAAGCCAGCTGATCCGCTTCCGGGCACTTGAATCGCTGCTGCGGCTGTTGCGGCATACCCAGATAGGAAGCGTAGATGATTTGGCCCTGATGTGCCACGCCCGTCTGATTGGCATGTCGCATCTTGAAATTGGCATTGGAGAAGCCCGCCTGGCTGCCAGGCGACAAATTGTTTTGCATCGTTTGTCCCTGTCCGGCTTGTCCCTGCTGGTTTTGCATATAGGTGCAGTAGACCTGCTGCTGTCCGTTGGGCTGCTTCTGTGGTGATGCGTTCTTCGAGAAGATGTTGGGCAACTGATTCTGTGCACCGCCCGCCGTGCCGCCGCTGCCGCCAAAGAAATTGCCCGACGGCCCAAACTGCTGCGGCACAAAGAATATGCCGCCGGCATTGGACGAGCCACCAAAGTGGGCGCCCTGCATGCCCATAAACGAGGGCGTGGGCGACCACATCGGCATGCGGAAATTGGCGGGTGTCATATAGAAGCACACAGGTATGCTGGGCATGCCAAAGTTCGGATTGAACATAAACTGGGCGGAGGCTTTCATTGTTTCGCCAGAGACCGGAAAGCCGCCAGGTCCGCGGCTAGTAAACTGCACGCTGGGCGAGGCAGTAAACGGTTCCATCTCACCAGAGCCGCCCTCTGCGGCCGCCTTTTGTCGCAGTTTCCGTGTTAAGTGCGCACACATCGACATGAGCTGTGCATCGGCGGCTGGAAGGAAATAGTATATATTAGAGCTGTGAACACAAGCTAGCTGCAATTGTTTTACCATTTGGCACCTTGCCACTGATAGGGTTTATTTTGGGTCCCATTTGCTGCAGACTCTTGGCATCCAGCTCCGTGCCAAACGTGTCGATAAGCTCATCCTGTGGCGGCGCTGCATCCTGCTCGAACTTCTGCAGCCAATGATTGCGATCGTAGACATTCGGAGTCTTCGACTCTTCATGATTTCCGGTCTCATTGCTGGGCAGGACTTTGATAAGCGGCTTGTCCTGCTCGTTGCTGGGCAACACTTTGATAAGCGGCTTCTCTTGCTCATTGCTAGGCAGCACTTTGAGTAAAGGCTTCTCCTGCCTATGGCGCTCAAAGCTGTCCAACATGTTTTCTATGCTGCTGGGATCATCCAACGGATGCACCGCTCGAGCACCTTCAGTGGTGGAATCGGTGGTGGAATCGGTGGTGGAATCGGTGGTGGACTCGGTGGTGGACTCGGTGGTGGTCTCAGTGATGGTTCCAGTTGTGGTTTCAGTGGCTGCAGCTTGGGTCGTGCTATTCACTTCATTGCTGCTGGCGTCGCTGTCAATAATCCAACTGATCTTCATTGGCTTGGGCTTGGTAGGAAATGCGGTGCGATTGAACCCATCCACAGCTTCGGTCGTTGTGGTTGGGCTGAGCGTAGTAATGGGCATTGTGGTTGTACTGACTGTACTAATGGGCATTGTGGTTGGATTTAACGTAGTTGAGCCTGGCTGCATGTCTTTATCTTCTACGTCCGTCGCGTTCAGTCCTGTGGTTGTTTTTGTGAATGGTTCGGGTGCATCTGTTGTAGGCGCTGTGGTTGTATTGGCGCTGGGCTGGGTCCTATGATCGTCCGAGTGCAATGGACCCGGCTGAATTTCAAAGCTTGGTAAGCTGGTTGTCTCTTGTAGCACAACCTGAGGCGAAATAGTTTTCTCTGTGGTGCCTATGGTTGTTTTCTCATTGGTTCCCTCTGTGGTGTGTACAATCTCTTTGGCCTTATCGAAGCGGTCCAAAATCCAAGTGATTTGGTCGGTGATATTGTCCGAGTCTAGTCCCTCAGTGGTAAGAATTGACAAAGGCTGGCTTGTGGTGATGGTAAAGGAGCTGCTGCTGCTGCTACTACTTGATGTGGTGGCATCTATTGATGTTGTAGCCGTTGTGTTCTCCTCTGTGGTGGCGGAGGAGCTACTGCGTCTGCTTGTTGATGTGGTACTCTCTATTGTTGTTGTTGGCGTTGTGCTCTCCATCGTTGTTGTTGCCAAAGTTGTGGTCATATTGATCTGATCCATAGCTCTCGGCGTATTCTCAACATATGCTTCCTGCTCATCGTGTCCAGGTCCATCGATGATCCAACTGATTTGTGCTGGTTTTATCTTAACTCTATTGGGTTTCAGCGTTGTCTCCTCGATGTCTCCGTTGCCAGCCACGCTGACATTTGTGAGTGGAGTTGTGACCTCCTGTTGTTGCTCCACTGATGTCCTGGTCGTCTTTGCTGGTGCATATGTATGAAACTCATGCGACTCAACGCTATGGGATCCTAGGTGATCCCTAATAATTTCCTTCATCTTGTCCATTTTCTCGGTAACCTCCTTGGCCATCTGGTACATGCGCATAAAGGCCGACATGCAGTCCTCCGGAGTCTGTTTCTTGCATCGCACATACTCGCTCTCCAGCTGACTCAGCGCAGCCCTGGCACGTTTGCTGCGCATCCTTGTATACAGATACTGCATGCTGGCCTCCAGCTGGAGAGGATCAATCAGATCAACAGACTGCAAACTACGACGTAAACGATGCTTTCGCTTCATTCGAAACTTGAAGCGCATGTGCTTTAAGCGCAATGACTTCTCCTCGCTCTTGGTAGCTATTGCCTCGGGATCATCTTTCTTTAGCGGAATGTGAAAAGGCTGCAGTTGTGGTCTCCTTACAAAAACATCTTCATCGATGGGTTGCAAGTTCTGTGCGTGCCTTTTATTGAGCGCCATTATTTGACGCAGGTGATCTGCAAAGGTTAATCATATTTTAGTTCTATGATGAGGCTGTTCCTGCGTCTGTGCTTACCCATGCGCTCGAGTACAATGCCATGATAGATCAATGAGATCATCAACGTAATGAGTACCAATGTGGATATGATCAGGATACGTGTGCAGGGCAGACGAAAAAGACAGCAGCGACGAGGAACTCGCTGCGTTCGCTTAGCCTCCAGCTCTGAGAAAGTGTATAAGATCGTGGTCAAATATTTTATTAAACTAAGCCGCCCCCAAAGATTCTTCTCTTTCGCTGCCTTTCTCCAGCTTTCAATGGGAGCGAAAATGAATTTTAACCACAAATAAACCAAGTAACGTGATCTTCAAATACTGCCTCACTATGCGATTCTCATAATTTTCTGTGTTACATAAACAAGTTATGTAGCCTATTTCATAAACTTTATCTGCTCATACTCTCATTCTAATTAACTCTCTTGCGGTCTGTTTCTTTTTTTCATTCTCGTTAGTTCAAAATTATACATTCTGGTGAGTGCAATTCAGACAGGGAATAACTTAGTCGACTCTCACCCTATCTCTCTATATTGTAGGTGTTCAAATAAAATATTTTAGTGTAGCCGTGCAAAAATTTGTGTTTACAAGATATTAATTTTAACATAATTCAACCAATTTGTATCAACATATTTTTTTTGTTTTGTTCAGCGAGTTCTTTACTGCCCAATTTCGCAATTTGCAGAATTGCTGATGCACTAAATTGTCGAACTGAACATGAAATGGAAACATAAGCTTAAAAATCTGACAAATACTTGTGGCAAATAGGCTACATTTCAATCAAAAAAGTAATTAAAATGACGATTTGTGTTTATTCTAAGAATGTTATGCAATATCCGAGATCACCTACCATCCACACTTTGTTTCATTTTACTAAATATTGATTAACTTGTATGCACTTTATTTCAAAATAAATATTATAGGCATGTCTGAAGGATATATTTATATTCCCTTAACAGAATTTGACACCGTTTTTATTTGAGATTTAAATGAATTTTCTTAGTTTCACTTTTTAGCACTTGTTTATTATACAATGGGCTACCAAAAGGAGCATCCGATTACAGCGATTCACTCAAACAAAAAACGAAAGCAATCAGCAGCAACAAGTGCTGGGTAATCCAAAGGGCTGACCGGGTATACGGTATCAGACGACACGATAACACGACGATTTCCAATGCGAGCGACTTCCGCGCGTTTCAACCGGCTCCACACGGCAACTGAAGACATCGTCGACGCTGGACGCGCTTATGAAGCTTTCGGAAAGTGGATCAGCTTGTGCTCGACGACGACGTCGACCCAGTTTAGTGGTGCAATTTGCTGTGCTGTGTACAAAATGTTTTGAACTTTACAATTTTTTGGTTAATGAAAATGGCAAACGAATTGCGAGCGATGCAAAAAAATGCGTCAAGAGTGCAAGTTGAAGGGAATCGCAGAGCAACGAACCACCCACCCATGCGACCAGCTCACCAATATCAATTGGATTGGGTGGCAATGCCCTTTGTTGGGGTCGAGCAAGCCTTGACTTATAGAGTTTTAGTCGTCATTTTACAAATTTTGTACACTAAAAACGTACATCAAAAATATTTTTTTAGTTAAAGACCTAGAAAACAGACACGCAAATAAATATACCCGTTGATAAAAAAACCTCCATGAAAACTTCCGAGGAAATAGTCCGAATCAAAATTTTATTATCAGATTTAATGTAAGTAAATAGCACAAGTGACTATATAAATGATATTTCAATTAATTTCATATTTAACTGTTCTATCACACAGAAATCACTCACAAAAAATTGATGCAAAATTCAGTAAAGTGTCTGCTTTATCAACTACTGCGATTAGTTCACCTCACACAACGGGTGAGCAAGATGTGCGGTACAATTCTATATTCCCAGCCGAGCCAAAACGAATGGTGAGTACGTCAGAAAGATACATACTATATCTTAAGCATAGCTCTAGAGTTAGCACAGTGAGATGCGGATTTATAATTTAACAGAGTTAAGAAACAAAAATCTTTTTATTCGTTTGAGTTTTTTTTTTAGTTCAAGATTAAAGTAAAGTAAAGTAATGATTCGATAATTCGTTCATATCGAGAAATTAAATATTAAATGAAATTCTCAAAAAGTAATTATATAATAGTCGTCTTTCGTGACAATCATTAGTAAACATATGTGTTATGATGAGGTCCAAACTTAGGGGCTGTCCACGCCACGCGAAATTGGCTTGCTGGTGGGACACTTCTCTTCCTCCAGTAGTTCCATCAACTGGGAAAAAAGTTCACGGCTTATATTGTTGCTCACGCGCATCAACATAAACCAATCGGCGCAGCTGAAGCCGCGCAAGGCACGCTTCAACGTAGATTGTTGCATGAAACGGGACTGCGTGCGCAGCAGCTGAAAGCGCAGTCCACGATGAAAAAGGATGAACAGTCGATAGATAAGCTTTAGGCCGGCCAAGAAAGCCATTATCATGAACCAGACCCACAGAAAGACAAAGATTTTCTCATTCAAATTGTTGAGTGGCAGTAGGCACAGATTATCAACTGATTCCAAGGTGCCGCTGGCGCCAAACTTTAAAATCTCGCATTTGGCAATCTTTGGAAATATGTGGGCGGTAATGCGATTCCACTCATCCCAGTTATACTGAGGCACTGCGGCCAATGCCTTTACATAGCGCGCCCAGAAGCCATCCAAAAACACATTCAGCAGCAGCATGTTGACAATCTAAAGTTAAAGTATGATTTAATTAAGGTTTTAATTTGGGAGCTGGTGTAGCTTACGCTAATGCCAAAGTTGCACACTTCACAGAATATGTAGGAGACAAAGTAGCGCAGATGCGAATCCTTGTAGTCGCTAGCAAAGTATTTGGCCACCTTGCGCAGCTGCGAGGAGGTCTTTTCGCGCGATACTAGCACATCGTCCAGATTGGCACAGAGATTTTTTAGTCGCCCACCTTCCCATATCTTCCAGAGAAACGCAGGCAGGTAGAAGATAAACGACTGCAGCAACAGCACCGGCACCACCCACTGGTAGTAGCGCAGAAAGACGCGCTCCTGTCCCGTAGCAGACTGCAGCAGCGGTGCCGTATTGTATAGTAGATTGCTATCGATCGTTGGCTTAAATTCTTCTGTTTCAAAACTACGCTTGTACTGCAGCTCAACTGTTTCTTCCCGGTAAGCGGCTAATGCGTCGTCGTCGTAGTTCATTATGTACATTCCCATGGTCCAGCAGTGGGAGTTGACAAAATCCTTGGACTGCATGTTGGATATGCAGATCAAAGGATCACCAAAGTATTGCTTCGCGGAAAGCAGAACCGTAAACGCTAACAATAGGGCGCATGTAACTTTTGCGTGCAACGTGAATACTCCATCGTAAATGCGAACCGACTTCAGTTGCAAGTATTTCGAAAGAGGCTTAACTGCAGTATACATTTCTTTCACAATTTAGTTGAGACGAACAGTCAAACGTTCAATTTTTATGTTTTTAGTGTTCATTTGCAGAATTTCTTAAAAACACGCGGGAAGTTAACGGTTAATGTGGGCTGATCAGCAGTTTCGTATTTTTTTTATCTATCGTTCAGCAGCTCTGTTAAGTGAGGAGTGATTCTGTAAAGTGCTATCGGCAGATTTGGCTTCTGTTAGCTGTAAATTCAAGACACACTCCGTCTTAAATTAAAGTAGGTCGCCGCTAAAAATATGATTAATTTTAATATTTATAATTTACGTCATTTTACGCTTTCTGCTATATTGGTTTTTGAGAAAGAAGTAACTTCAAATAGTATGCTGTTAATAACAGACGAGCAAAATGTTAACACCGCAATCGATTTATGTGAACATCAATGGTTCGTTCAATCGAACTTGTTCCAAACGATTCGGTACAACTATAAAACTCACATGTGTTTTCATTTTCCTTGCGTTGTTCAGTTTAACCAAAAGGCGAATGAAGATGAAAGAGCAACAATCATCCAAGCAGCAGGAACGCAATGAGAAAAAGAAGAAAAAATTGGCCGCGCTGGCAAATCTAATACAGATGAACGACCGGGATCGCATTCATGAGTCTGAGCAGAAGCACCGTGACACCGAGAACGATGAGGAGGAGGATGATGGTTTTGTCACAGTGCGCAGCAAGCGAAAGACACGAAATCGTCTAACCATTGTGGCAGACAGCAACAGTGGTACAATCGCCTCTTCTCCTGCCGATGGCGGCGAGGTGGAGTCCGGAGAGCCCGAAATAAAACGCAGCCGAAACAATTCAGCTGGCGGTGACAATACACTTGACAGTTTGCCGGCCACACTAACCCAGGAACAATACAGGTGTCTGTCCACGGATCTGCGACGCCGTAAGCGCGAACTGGAAAGCGTGCCTGGTGTCCATTTACGTGATATGGGCAGACGTGCGCTTCTGGAAATACCACAGCAGGAGCGTACGCCTATCTTTTTGACAGATATACAGAATCTGCTGATGTCGGCGCTCATTGGTAAGAAGAGTCCTTGCGCGCCCGACCGCTGGTGCTGTGCTGATAAGTTTCAAAGCCTGTCGCATAGCGTGGTGCTTATACTGGATGGCTTGTCGCTCTATCACTATATATCTAATGAGAGCCGATTTGAAGCTACCAATAAAATATTCGATACCAAGCTGGAGGTGGTGCTTCCGCCGCAAGATGAAGGCAGGATCATTGATGCAATTGCTCAGGTCAGTTGTGTACATTACTCAAATATAGAGCTTCCACTGAGTGTCAACTGATGTCTTTTTTAGATTCCCCTTACCAATGTGCAGGCCCAGAAGTTAATTAACGAACATGGCTCTCTGGAATCAGCCGTGGAGCTGAACAAGGATCCTACACTTTTTGTAAAGGCAATTTTTCCCATTGAGAAGCAATCACCTTCCGCACTAACAGGCACGACAATTTTGCACCCAGATGACAAATTTCCACGCACCAAGCTTTTGCTTTCGGCATTGCAATTAGTCGACGAGGGCTATCCCATACCGCTACAAGGCGAATTGCACGCCCGATTCAAGTCATTTATGTTCACAAAAAAATCATATGCGCCTGTAACGGATTGCAGTCCTATGTATGGAGTTGATTGTGAGATGTGTCGCACCATATCTGGGGCGAACGAATTGACGCGTATTTCCATAGTGGACGAAAAATATCAGACCGTGTACGAGACGTTGGTTCGTCCCGTCAACAAAATCACCGACTACCTCACACAGTACTCGGGCATAACGGCTGATATTATGGAATCTGTTACGAAAACGCTGTCAGATGTGCAACGTGAAGTCTCGGAGCTTCTACCAGCTGACGCGATACTAGTTGGTCAATCGCTCAACTCTGATCTGAATGCCATGCGTATGATGCATCCGTACGTGATAGACACCAGTGTATGCTTCAATATCAGCGGCGTGCGCAAACGCAAAAGTAAACTAAAGCATTTGGCCAAAAGGTTTCTGCAGGAGAGCATACAGGAGAATGAGGATGGCCATGATTCCATTGAGGACTCGCGCGCCACACTCAAGCTGGTCAAGATGAAGCTGGCCAACAGCATTGAGTTTGGTGACGAGATTCTCACGCAACGGAAGCGCATTCACGACGTGATACGTGCCACCAGCGGCGACGGCCTCAGAAATAATTTGTTTGCTCACGCGGCCAAGCGGGACAAGCGCACGGCCATTGTGACTGTTGGTGATTTGCAGCCGCGCCTCAAGGAGGTTATTAGAAAGGCGGAACAGGCTGCTTCAAAGGACAGTTGCAAATCGGTTTATGTGCACGTGGTCTCCACAACCAAGGAGGCGGTGCGTAAAGTTAACGAAATAGCGCTGGAGAATGCGCTGACCATTGCCAATCTTCTTGTGCCAGAGCAGGATTTTGTGCTAGAGAGCGCTGAACGCACAGCTGCTAAATTGGACAATTTTATTGAACGAGTATGGAACGCAATGGCACACAATGGCCTTTTCATGGTGCTGATGGGCGGCTCTGCCGAGTGTCAGAAAGGCGTCGCCAAGATTGCCATAAAGCGTCGAAACGGCAGCATCCCAAAAAGTGCACTCATAACCAATGGTGTATCGGCGGACCCATGAACATTATAAGCACACACACACACACACTCACAATTCACCCACACACGTAATTGGTGCACGGTATGTACATATGCACACACACACATATACATACATACAAATAGAATTAGGAAGTCAAGAAAGTAGCTTAAATCCCTATGAAAGAATCAAATAGTCCAATAATTGATAAATTCGCGTCCAGTTTTCGCAATAACTTTTGGTACTTGTAGCGGCACATCAGAGTGAGCAATGTGCAAAGGAAAATTTGCTGTAATTTTCCATCTGATGTAATGCAAAAAAACTTTTAGCCTTTAATTATTTTCAATAGCTAGAAAAAAGTATCAAAGTACGACTAAATTTTCCAAAAAAAAAAAAAGTAAAAAAACAAAAAAAAAACAAACAAAAAAATTTAAACTTCAACTTTTTCGAAGAAAGCTAATAAATCCATGTTGTTTGTAAATCAAATTAAGAATCTAATGTTGGTTCCGGAAACCAGAACAATGACAAGTTTTCTAATCAAATCCTGA